TGTGGGGATTTGAGTTAGCTTGTGAAACTCTTGTCTTTATTCTTTTGTGTTTGGTGCTGATATATGTATTGGGATCGAGTTGCACGCCGTAACAGGAGGAATAAGGGTGAAATGTGATTATTTGGTGGGATCGGGTTGCACGCCGAAACAAGGAGTAATAAGGGTGGACAGGTGGGATCGGGTTGCGCGCTGCAACATGAGGAATAAGGGTGATATGTGTTGAGGAGTAATCAGGGTGGACAGGTGGGATCGGGTTGCACGCGGCAACAAGGAGGAGTAAGGGTGAATATTGATAATGTTGTTGTTTATATGTTGGGATAGGGATGCGCACCGCATCAGCTGTTATTATGTTTCCATTTTCTTTTGAGGCCCATTATTGTGATGTTGAAACACCCTTAAGGATTGGTTATAGCTGAATACTAGTAGAACATCTGGGTTCCGAGTTTATTTAAATGCCAGTTATTGCTTTATCACATCATGTATTTCCTTTCTGTTTAGTATAAACTGTTGCAGGTTGTATATGTTGTATGCCCAGCCATAGCCTCGTCACTACTTCGTCGAAGTTAGGCTCGGCACTTACCAGTACATAGGGTCGGTTGTACTGATACTGCACTATGTACTTTCTGTGCAGATTTTGGAGCTAGTGGCTGATCGTGAGGTTGGTTGCTATCACTGCTTCCCGGAGACCCAAGGTAGTCCTGCAGGCGTCCGCAGGCATTGGTGTCCCCTTCTATCCTATTTCATTTTCTGCTTTATCTATTTGCGAGACAGATGTAAACTTTTTGTTCAGACCCTTATTTGTAGTATTCGTAGACTGTTCGTGAGTTGTGACACCAGCTCTGGGTGGAATTTATTACGGTTTTGTTATTAGTACAAAGATAATCTTTTAAATTGTGTTCTTCCGCATTTAATTGACTGATTTATTTTTGTTAAGTTTTAATTATAAAAAAAAGGGTAAAAGAAAAAGGTGAGATATCCTGTAACGTTGGCTTGCCTAGCGAGTACAATGTTAGGCGCCATCACGGTCCCGACGGTGGAAAATTCGGATCGTGACAGATGGGACGGAACATTTTTATAGAAAATTGACAAAACTTCAAAACTATTATAAATATATTGTATTTATTACCCCATATTGATAAATATTATCCCCGTAAAAGATTATATATAGCTGGTACTGTAGCAGATTATACTGCAGTAGCAGCCTACACAATAGCTTCGTTTCTTCTATAAATAGAAAAAATTTCAGTTCATTATATCTATCAGTTTGAAGTTGAACAATACATCAATCTTTCTTTATACTTATTTTTGGTTTATTTATTCTAAAATCTTTATTTTATAACAAAAACCATGTCGTCATCTTATTTAAACAAAATTCGGTTGAGGTTGTAAAAAAGAGTTGAAAATAGGTGACTAACATGAGGAAAAAAAATTGCTATTTCATTTATAATACTCGTCAAAGATCTTAGCACCTCAATTTCACCACTTTACTAAAGTCTCAGTTGCTGCAATAGGGGTGAAGCTTTTGCCAAAAATTATATTATATGTATAAGGTTAAATTTTTTTTTTCATGTGTGTACATGAGATGTTGAATTTTCTTTACTTCTTTATGTGTTTACTATTTTTCTTTTTCTTTTTTACTGAATTTCCTGGATAAATATTCTGCTTCCGCCACTAGCTGCAAGATCTGAAATGTGATTGGAGAATTATGACATTATAATATATTAAATTATATAATTATATTTTGAAGATATATCAAAAGACATTGACAGGAAATAACTACCACAGAAATATAAAATTTAACTAAATTATTCACGTGATTGAGAAAATTCAAGATAAGTTGGTGCATGGACTTGACGCAAAAACGATCCACTTCTCCTTTATCTTGTAAACAAATTCCATAGGATAAATGAATATTTTAATAATTTAAGTAAAGAATTTTTCGAAAAGATTGAGGCGTGGGCATTATATAATTGTAAGCCAACCATGTGACCCCATATGGACCAAGACAACACTGTCAACATCCCAAAAAAGTACTTACTGTTCGATAGGAATTGAATTTTTAATAAATAACTAAAAAAACAGCTCGGTGCACGAAGTTTTTCGTATTTACGTAGAATTCGAAGAAGGGCTGCACCTTAGAAAAGTGTGATATAGGAAGTCTACCTTGATACTAGCATCAGTAACTGATGATTACATAATTCGAATCTGTGACCTTTAAGTCAAACGCAGACAACGTTATTGTTGCTCTAAGGCTCCCGGCGTTTTACATTTTAATAAAAGATGCTGAAAAAATAACTAAAACGAAAGAATATATCAGAAAGAGAAAATTAGTTCGATTATAATTTTTTTAATTAATGAAAAATAGGTTGGACAAATTGTTACAGATCAATTAAAATAAGAGAAATGAGGCACAATATCAAAAATTAGAGCCCGGGGTCAAAGTAACGTGTAAAAAGTTCAAAAGAACACAAGTAACACAAAGAAATTATGAAATCAAAATTAATAAGACAAGTATATCACATAAAATGAAACGAATGAAGTGCAACAACAAACTTAGTGTAATCTCATACAGATGCGAAGCCAGGATTTTAACCTTATGGGTTCGGGATTATAATCCTTTTAAGTTATTGGATTCTAAATCAATAATTTGTACATATTCATTGGATTTCTTAATACAAATATAAGGTTTGAACAAAAGCTACTGTGTTCGACCGAACCCGCAGCCAATACTGTGGCTCCGCCCCTGATCTCATAGGTATAGAGAGATGATAGAGAGATTGTTTTTGATAGACATCGGCTCAAGGAAGATGATTAAAATATAACTTAAATGAATATTTTTATTATATAATTTTCTTTTTCCTTTTTTAAAGTTATAAGTGATATATATCATCAAGATATTAATTAAAATTTCAAAATAGCTAGGATATTGATGGGCAATATAGTTAGCTCCATAGAATTAGCTAGTCACGAGGCCTTGTTTTTGAACCAAGAGACAAATTGGTTAGTGTGCTCCTCAAATTGGTACAATTAATCGAACAAGAATAACTTTGGACACATGAATTGTGTCAATTCCAAAGTGGGAATCGAAGATTTTTTGGGACACCTTTGACCTGAGGTGCAACTATTGTATAAGTTGTAGTGGAACAAGTGGAAGAGTGATCATGAGGTGTCTCAAGACTTTAATGTGTCGAAATTCGATATTATCCGTCGGTTAAATCATTCTATAACCATATTAAATAGACGGATCAAATCATGTTCATTTTTGCCTAATCAGTCTCCGACCCGCCCATATTCTACCTAACTTGCCCGTTTGCCGCTGCTGTAGTGGAACAAGTTGAAGAGTGATCATGAGGTGTCTCAAGACTTTAGGGTGTCCAAATGAATTCGAAATTCTCCGTCGGTTAACTTATTTTTTAACCATATTAAATATGAACGGATCGAATATCTTATATATTTTTTCTAACCCGTCTTCGACCCACCCATATAGTATCCCATTACCTGTTTGCCGCTCCTGTAGTGGAATAAGTTGAAGAGTGATCATGAGGTGTCTCAAGACTTTGCGGTGTTCAATTGATGTTTATGGACAGATTCACGGTGCAACTTATAGATTTACGTGAACTCGGTAACTTTTCTTTATGTTATGTATATGAATATTAAGAAATCAACTTAATATAAATAAATGAGTACAAATCTAATTATTATTGTATATTAACTTGAGATATTATAGAAATACATAAGTTTTAAGTTCTACATCCATCTCTATGACGTTCATATGATTGATGATGATCTTAGGCCATCCCTACCTTAATTGATGGCTAACATTTAGATGTGGAATTTTCAGTTTGTATATTGTCATCTCTTAGAAGCAATTCTTAGCATTTATCTCTTATTTCGTTATATGTGTAAGCATTTATCTCTTATGGCATTGGAATTTGGCAATTGTAATATAGTCACACTACTCTAATAGAAAATATAAAATAGTAAAGGTCAAACTTTCTTAAAATGAGACTTATTCCTAAACAAAGAGATGCCAATGAAATTAGAGAGTGAACATGATAAACTTAGTTAGTTGTCATAAATAATAATCCAATGTCATAAATAATAATCCAATGTAAGTATTTAGAAATTATGGTTTTGCTCACTACAACAAATTTGATTATCAATGATGAATTATTTTGTCATCTATGATTCACTTTTCGTCACCAAAGATTTTTTGTGACAAAATTTTTTTGTCAATCTTTCGTCTCTAAAACACCGTCACTAATAACATATAAAGGCAACTTTGTGTTTCGTCGCCAAATAATAAAGTATTAAATACGAAATTCTTATTCATCCCCAAATACGTAATATTTATGACGGATTTATTTGTCATAAAAAGTACCAAAAAATCATACTTAATAGTATGATTTCGTCACTAAAAAGTGCATTAATGTCGACGAAACTGCCTCGTCTCTAAAAAATTAGTTTAATTACTGACGGCGTCAAATGTCTCTAAAGCTATGTGTGTTTCATAGTTGAAAAATCGTAAATTTGTCACTAAAGACTACCTTTTATCTACAAAAAAGTATTTCGTCCCGAAATATATAATTAGTGACAATTATAATTTTGTAGTTAAAACTATCATCTCGTCACTAAAAAAAATATTTTTACTGACAAAACGAAGTTGTCACTATAAGTAATGATAATTAGTGACAATTACAATTGTCAAAAAATAGAAAGTTGATTCGTAGTCAATAAAAAGATCATTTTGGGACATAAATTATTTTTGTCACTAAAAATAGTGAATTTATGACGAATTTAATTTGTTTCGTGACGAAAATGTGATATTCCTAAAAACTATACAAAAGTGAACTTTTTTGTCACTAATAACAAATGTTTGATGACGTTTATATTTGTATTTGTTTTAGATCGTCGTTATACGAATTTGAAATAACATAATAAAACAATCAAGGTAATAACAGAAAAACAAAAACAATCAAAGGTAACAAAAATATTCACCATTGATCATAAAACTAATATTAAAACTATATTGAAATAAAAGCTCCTTTAATTAAAAAAAACATAACTAAAGTGAATATGTCCAACATAGAAGTCTAACTGAGAAATATTACTCCTAAACTAGGACTAAGAAGTGGAGGAATGCAGTGACACTTCACTTGCAATTAGTCTTGATCCAATAGTTAGCTTCATATGCCTGTATAAAAGATAGAGAAAAAATTAAGATTTAAGTTAATACTTTATGGTATCATGGTATAAATAAAATATAATTGGTATAAACTACAACTTCTTGTTAGATGTAGAGTTTAATTGGTGAAACAAATAAATGAATTGTGATACAAATAAATAAAAATGAGAAAAAAAATTAAATAGTGTGAAGTTAAGTGTACCCAAAGTTGATAATCTGGTGGAGCTCAATCTTCGCTGTATCATTAAAAAAACATTCGAACTTAGATGCTAAAAGAATTATAATGCAGTTCAAAATGGCAAGAAATGGACACAGTCGAAAGAAGGAAACAAGACTGTCACATGAAAGAAGTGGCAAAACAAGTCAAAATGCAGAAGAGAAGCACAGAATGTTTAAAAGAAATGGGCTTCAAGCAGACTGGAATTGGTCAAGAAATATGGAGATCAAGCTAGGCACAAAAGTCAGCAGAAAGTGCTGTGATCAAATCCCTTGGGAGATGATCATAGTACTGATGCTTTTAACTAACAGTGTGTTCTTTTTTGCAGGGAAAGTTACTGTATTCATGCCTCATCTTTTGCTAAACTATTCAAGGGTGGTATTAGCACATTGTGCTCATTCCCTAGACGGAATAGCAAAGATGAGCACAAGCATGGAAGATTGGAGAAATTATACTAGTCTAATAACCAATCTCTGTAGGACTAATATGCACATGAGGATATTATGTAGTAATGCAGGATGGTTGGTTTCAGATGCAAGCAACCAAGGAGACTTTCTAAAGCATACAAGAGCAATGATTTGGTGGGGTGTTTTATACCTACAACCAAAAAACAAATCAACTCATACAGGGGGTCAGGCAAGGATGCAAAAAGCAGGATATTCAATTGCAGATCATCAAATCCAAGAGGAGGAGATGGTGATCAGTAGTTACGATATCTATGTGGTATTTGATGAAGGAGAGAAGTCAGAAATCATTTCCTCCTATTTGCTACAACTTCAAAGGGTGGTATTAGCACTTTGTGCTCATTCCCTTGAAGGAATAGGAGGCAAATGCATGGACACATGATAGTACAAGATAAACTGGGATGACAGTGCAAGATAAACTGATATTACTAATGCACATGAAGTATAATAATCAGCTCACTAAGGTCACCAACTACCAAATGGAGATCACAACAACAAGATGGAAAATGCAACAGAAACAGTGGACATATGCCAGATTGGACAGGAATTTCAGACTCAATGAATGCAAAGTGGAGCATAAGTGTAATACAAAATACTAGCAGGACATACCAGGAAGGAATTCAGGCAGCAAAAACACAAGAAGCTGAAATAGAGATTGGCCGCAAAGGAAATAGACCACAGCACATAGCAGGACTCAAATATGAAGACTGGACTACTACAGGTAAATTCATGAAATGCAGACAATCATGGGAAAACATACATATCATCTGGGCAAATCAAGTGTTTCTGCAGCAGCAAGAAGGGAATCAACAAGCCAAAACAATCACAATGGATATGATCGTACAAGTCAAAAGTGGCTATGGATGCAAAATGCATGCACATTGGTTCAGAAGGCTTCAAAGGCTAATACTTAGCATATGTAATAATGCTAGATTTCAGTATGATTTTAGGATAGTAGTAGCTTGCAAAGTTTATTTGTTACATTTTGTAATACCTCCAAACATGTTTGCTTTTATTTTTAGATATTTATAAAATAGCCCTAGGCACACTGCCTAGTGAATTTTGCTTTAAAAAAAAAGAATTATAATTGAATTTATCATTTAAAGATGTAGTACTTCTAACCTTGATGGTGATGAGCCAATAAAATGACGCTTCATTTCGCTTAATATTTCCTCTTGGCGTGCCCTTAAAGTACCCAACTCAGAAGTTAATGTTTGTATCTGTATCCGCTGATCTGCTACCTCAGTTTCAGCTACATTTAAACGTTCTTGTAAACCATGTTGGGCAGTAGCAGCATCCTCTTTTGCCCTCCTAAGAGCGTCCTCTAATTCTGCTGTCCTTCTTTTTGTTGCTGTAGTTGTATTAGGCTTTGGACCATAGCCTAGTCCTTTAATATATCCCGATCTTGTACCAAGTACATTATCAACAATTTCATCAATAGTCATTGGATTCTCTTCAGAAATAGACTGAGCTCTCAAATCTCTCATTTTGTTCTACATAAAATATTACATCAGTTAAATTAATTATAAGATAGAATGAATACATGTGACATGTTACTAAAATATTACTTATGTAGTTAGTCACAGCCTCTAGAGATAACCATCCTTTTTCACTCGAGTAATGGGTGCTTTTGTAGAACTCAATCCTATTTGGCTCTATTCCTTCATGTTCCTTCACAACCTACACAATATGAAAATAATATGAAATATTACTAAAATATCATCTTAATAATGAATGTGTAGGGTGATTGAACCTCAACCACATTGACATGATTAGATTACAGGCTCAACAAAAGGTAATGAATGTATGTGGAACAAAGCTTTTTACCTATACCAACTCCTGTCAAGGCAGCCATTTTTGAGAGTTTTGTGAGACAGAACATTGCAGAGTCAGAAATTGATGTGACAAGCAATATTAGACAGCTAACGGAGAGTAGTTATGGCTTCCCAACTAACAGCAAGACGGAATTTTTCTATGCTGACTGTCCTTTTATACAAAAATAAACTCAGAGAAAGGAAACACATAAAGGTTTTATATCAGAAAGCTCAATATATTTTAAGAGCCTTAAAAATACTACTACTAACAGTTGTTGTAGAATACATAATGCAGACACAGAATTGATTTTCCTTGTTATTAAGGTCCTAGATGTGATACTAATATTTGACAATTAAAAGTTTAACTAAAGCATGCTGACAAAGATTTAAAGAAAAGTAAAGAGATACGAAAGAAACAAGTTGCACAGAAACTTCCCCACCTCTCAATTACCAATTCACCATGACTTTGTTCACTATAAATTACATCTCAAACTTAAAAATAACTAAATAGGCTTCAATGTTTCACGGCAGACTCCCCTTGATCCTTGGGGACCCTTTCTCATATTCCCATGGTCCAAACATTGATCTAAAGTCGAATATGTAACTCCAGCAAAGACCCTAAACACGCATCTAACTATCTAAAAATCAAAATCAAATCAAATAAAGAATGTTGATTTTTTTCTCCAATTTGATCCCTTTTATGTTTGGTTCAATTTCTTGTGACACCCTTTGTTTAAAATTTTATTTTATACCAAGATAGTTAAATCAATTTTTGAAATAAATCATTTGAATATGTTGCATTCACTATTGTTAGTTAAATTTTTAGGGGGAAAACGAAGCTAAAAATGGGTCCAACCTTAATTCTGGACACATAAAAAGGTTTCCTCTCTGAACCGTACTTGAACAGACATTGTTGCAAAACCAATCGTGTTTTAATTCGTTCTCTTCCTTTCTTACTTCATAGTAAGTTCATGTGCTTTCTATTCTTCCTTATTACCCTAAGTTTCTAACTAATCATTTACCTTTTGCAATAGAAAAATTTAAAGGAACTTAAAATCAATATTATATTAAAAGATTTTGTTAACGGAGGAAGTGAGAAACAATAATAATTATTTGACTATGAAGGAGCTAGTTAAAACTCAATTATAACCGCATGTCTGACTTAGCTTGCTTTTTCGATATGTTTGTGCAGTTGATCATGGATAAAGATTGGATGCATGAACGGAAGTTCTCTAAAAAATATATTGAGGGTGTTCAATCTTCTATGCAACTCATTCGGTCAAACTTTGATCGAAATTCTAACGTTCGATGTCCATGCCAAGACTGTTTAAATATAGATTTTCAAACACAAGAAGTAGTGTATGACCACTTGTTGATAAAAGGAATTACGGGAAGTTACGTGCAATGGATATACCATGGGGAACAATCACAAAGGAGAGAAAAAGATGAAGCAATTTACAACGAAGACGAAGACGGAGACGAAGATGAAGAACATGACAACGATGATGGAATTAACGCTATGTTAGAAGATGCCAGTGGAAGATCATTTGCCAATTTTTCGGAGGAGACAACAACTGGTATTAATTTATGTGGTAATATGCGTGAGAAGGAAGCCAGAAAGTTTGACAAATTGTTGGAAGAAGCTGAACATGAATTATACTCGGGATGTCAGAAATTCTCAAAGCTTTCATTCCTTGTAAAGTTTCTAAACTTGAAAGTGTATAATCATTGGAGTAATAAGTCATTTGATATGTTGCTAGAGTTACTACGAAAGGCACTGCCAAATGGTGAGACACTTCCTAAGTCATATTATGATGCTAGAAACCAGCTGCAAGGTTTGGGATTAGGATACATTTCTATCCATGCTTGCAAATATGATTGTGTGCTTTATTGGGGTGAGCGTAAAGATAGACAAGAGTGTCCACATTGTGGTACTTCAAGGTGGAAACTTAATAACGGAAAGGATAAAAAGATTCCTCATAAAGTCTTGCGATATTTTCCATTAAAGCCGAGACTTCAAAGGTTATTTATGTCAAGAAAAACAAGTGAGGACATGAGGTGGCATAAAGAAAAACGTCTTGATGAGCCAAATGTATTAAGGCATCCTGCTGATTCTGAAGAGTGGAAAGAATTTGACAAGAATCATCAGTGGTTTGCCCAAGAACCTCGGAATATTAGACTCGGCCTTGCAACCGATGGTTTTAATCCATTTGGTAACATGAGCACAACTTATAGTATGTGGCCTGTCATTCTAGTTCCTTATAATCTTCCTCCTTGGAAATGTTTTAAGGATCCATTTATGTTAATGTCATTGCTTATTCCTGGTCCTCAAGCACCAGGAAAGGATATTGATGTTTATTTGCGTCCTTTGGTTGATGAATTGAATGAGTTATGGAGTGAAGGTGTAGATACATTTGATGCATCAACAGGGGAGTCCTTCAAGATGTATGCTGCTGTTATATGGACCATAAATGATTTTCTAGCTTATGGTAAGTTCTTAAACTCCTTACTGTCCAAGATGCCTAAATAATTGTTAAATAGAAGATTTTGGATAAGTTTTACTAGTATACTAATTGTAAGTAATTTTTGTATAGTTTAGGAATATAAACTAATGTGCGCATATATTATTTCTTATGGATTAGGTAATTTATCTGGATGGAGTACTAAGGGATACATGGCATGTCCTACTTGCAATAAAGATGCACCTTCACACAAGTTAAGAAGTAAAATCTGTTACATGGATCATCGCCGGTATCTTGACCCTAAGCACACATGGAGAAGAAGCAAAAAATTTGATGGTAAGATAGAAAAAAGATTGAAACCAAAAGAGCTCTCAGGAGATGATGTCTTACAACAATTGGATTTTCTTAGTACTTATAGACCAGGAAAACACCCAAATAATAAGAAAAGAAAACGTCTTCCTGAAGAGTTGAATTGAGTGAGGAGAAGTATTTTATTTGAGTTGTCATATTGGAAGAGCTTGAAGTTGCGACACAATTTAGATATCATGCATATAGAAAAGAACATTTGCGAGAATATTTTGGGGACAATACTGAGTATTGAAGGGAAAACTAAGGACACGTATAAAGCAAGACAAGATCTTAAGGATATGAACATAAGAAAAGAACTATGGTTACAAAATAATTGTTCTAGTTATACAATGCCAGCTGCTTGTTATAATATGTCAAAAAGTGAAAAAAGGAGTTCTATAAATTTTTAAAATCAGTTAAATTTCCTGATGGTTATGCTTCAAATATCTCACGGCGTGTAAATGAGGATGATGATAAGATAACTGGACTCAAAAGTCATGACCATCATGTTTTGTTACAACGACTGCTGCCTATAGCTATTCGTGGATTTGTAAATAAAGATGTCTCTTCAGCATTGATTGAGTTGGGCGATTTCTTTCAACGATTATGTTGCAAGACTTTGAGAAAAGATGACTTAGAACAAATAGAAAAGGATATAATTTTAATATTATGTAAGCTTGAGATGATCTTTACACCTGCTTTCTTTGATGTTATGGTACATTTGGCTGTGCATTTACCACAAGAGGCTATGTATGGTGGACCAGTACAATATCGTTGGATGTACAAAATTGAAAGATTTTTGTGCAAGCTTAAGCGTTATGTGCGAAACAAGGCACGACCAGAAGGTTCTATTGCAGAAGGCTATCTTATTGATGAATGTTTGACATTTTGCTCTATGTATCTTACTGGCATCGAAACTAGATTTAATCGTGAAGATCGAAATGATGATGGATCTAGTAACAAAGATGAAGTTGTTCTGGACATATTCTCAAAGAGTGTTAGACCATTTGGAGATGGAAACTATGATACCATACCAAAGAAAGATTTTGATATGGCTCGGTGGTATGTCTTGAATAATTGCGAAGAAGTAGAACCTTTTCTTCGGTATGTTATTTTTCTCTCTATTGTTAATTTTCTGTTTTAAACAATTTATAAGTAATTTATTTTGCATACAGGGAGCATAAAGAAGAGTTGATGAAGCAAGCTGCTGCGAATATAGAAGAGAAACATAGAGAACAATTTCCTTTATGGTTCAAAAGGAAAGTAAGTAACTTTTTAAGATAAGAATCATCTTAATGTGTTTAAATTCTAATTTGTTTTCCTCTTTACTAATTAAAAGTAATAATTTTTTCATTGTAGATTATGCAATTAT